GTGACTTGAGTGTGAACAGTCAGGTCACATTCATCCACCTACACGTCATCAACAAGACACAAACGTCACTATTCTGCACTGAAGTAGAGAAAACTGTTCATGATCCATGTGACTGAAGTGAAGCACATCTCCACTCACCACAAAACACCACCACCAAAAACCTGGTCCTTCTCCTTCTCAATCTCCTCCTTAAAACAAGTCAGTTGTTCATGTTGTGGCTCCGGTACGAGAGGAACTTTAAAATCTCCAGGTGCTCGATGCTGCGTCCATGTTTGTTCAACTTGTGTAAACACAGAGACGCTCGCTGCGGTTGACGTCGTCGTGTCTCCAGTGTCACATGTGGGACACTTTTGGACCGTTTAATGTTCACACTGGAGTCACATACAAGTCACATTTAACTGGAAATGTGAACGAGCTCGAAAAAACATCAGATTTCACATAAAAATCGTAATTGAGCGTTAAACCTGCAGACTGAACGTCGACTAAGTTACAAGGACTCGAGTGTCTCAAACTAAATACACTAGGAGAGACACAACAAAAGTGACGGACAGGTCCACAGACACAACAGCGGCCCTGAGTGGAAGGGGGCGGGGCCTTTTATAGGGCCGGAGCTCCAGGTGTTACGGCTTCCACCAATCAGCAGGAGGGGATCCAGGTGCCGTCTTAACTTGGATTCACCAAACACAGCAGGAACACACACACACACACACACACACACACACACACACACACACACACACACACACACACACACACACACACAACACACACACACTACACACACACACACACACACACGCACACACACTAACACACACTCACACACATGCACACACACACACACACACACATCACTTTCATACTAGGCATTGTGGGTGAAGTGTCTTGCCTAATGACCCACAATGACTGAATTGATTGTGTTTAACTGACCTGGACTATCAACTGTTCTGGACCTGGAGCATGTTTTGGGTTGATGGGGGAAAACGGAGGAAACTCATCCAGACACAAGGAGAAACATGCAAACTCCACACAGAAAGGCCCGGGCGACCCGGGAATCGAACCCAGAACCTTCTTGCTTAGCCACGTTGTACTTTCCTTACATTTGACCACTGTGTCTTCCTCTGCAGTGCTCAGTCTACTCTCTACCAACGGTGCGACATGCGCCATCTACTGGTCAGTGAAGGAATTGCACGTTAACTCAACAATCAATGGCCCAAATGATTTATTTTTATTTTTATTTATTTATTTATTTTTAGATTAAGCGTATATCATTCTCAAACCCATTGATAGTTACTACCTATATTTATATAATGATTTGAATTCAAACTAATCCAAGTTGTGTTAGCTTCCGCTGACCAGGTTGACAGTACATGTTAAATAGCGCTGTGAGCACCGTTTAAACTGCCGGCGGCGTGGGGTCTTCGATCCCCAGTCCTCCACCATGCAATGTGCGAGTCCTACGGACGGCCCAATGGGACACTAAAGGAGACGGTCCTCACGCGGTGGCTGGCATTTTTATTCTTCTGCTTTTTAAACAAACCAAACACGGCTTTTTAAACTTGAACTTGGTAAAACGGTGAGTGGAATCCCCGCCACACAGAGGGCCGCGGGTTCGAGTCCCGGGCGGCGGCTCAGTGAACCATGTGGAGTTAGGCTAATATCATGGAGTCCATGTATAGCTTGATATGCTCTATGGTTATTCCATCTTCTTTTTCTTTGCCTACTTTAGCTGGAAGCCATATGGTGATTTGACTCCTCCCATGATTACCCAGGCTACTGCAACTTGAACTGTTTTTGAAATGATGGAGGCCTGGAGGAGTAAGGCTTGATTTGTTTCATATTTTGAATTGGTTAATTGTCAAGTAGTTCATTTGTTAACTATTCACATGATCAGTTGTTAATCAGTTTATAAGGTATTAATCAGTTTACCATTAATCACCCAGTACCGTTATCAGAAAAGTGATTTTTATTTTAATGTGGCCCATATCGGCCTACAGTTATTTACACTACAGGAAGCTGTGATCAATTTCTCATTCCTAATCACACAAAACAAAACATGCCTTTTTATTTTTTATTTAGTTAGAAAAAAATAATTGAAAACAGCAAAGAAAGTTAAGTTCAGATTCAGTGAAACTATCAAAACAAGATAAACAGAAAATATGTATTAACAATCATGAATTAAACTTGCATCTCTTCAAACCAACGGTAAATAAATCTATGAC